AAAAGAACTCATAAAATTAACGACTAGTTGGAAAAAAACCGATATGTCAAAAACAATACTCTTTTTCAAATTATGGATGATTGAGAATGACAACCCTTGCATTAATTGTAAGGTGAAAAAAATAGTATTTTTTTGATGGACTGATGGTGTAAAAAAAAATAATAGTATTATTCAAAAACCACCCAAATTTGACATTTGATCGAATATCTACTCCACAATGTTTGTCTTTGCTTTTTTATTGTTACCTTTTTCCCCCCTAAATTGAAAGTCGCTTTCACAATTCTTATGTGTATTAATTTTTTTCTCAACAAATTATTTATGATGTACAAAAAAAAAAAAAAACAAATTATTTATGTGAAAAAAATATAGAAAATATTTTTATCTAAACACCTGGGGGAATCTACATTAGGAAGGCATCAAGCACAGGCATTACCCTCCTCACAAAAAATTGTTATGATTTTAAATTTTATAATTGTAATGCTTTACCTATTAAAAAAATAATATATAAGCCCTTCAAAATTTTGACTTTATCAACACGAAAATACAATAGGCCTTACCTAATAATCAGTCTTGGTCCTGCCTTTACTAAATACTGAGTTGAAATTCAAATTATACATTAAAATTACAATTTAAATATTAAATTATCCAAATAATTTAAGAGAATTTGATTTAAAATATTTTAATATATTTATAGCTCAAATTATATATTTATCGTGTAATTATTATGTAATCCAAATTAAAGAAATTTTTTTTTTTACCTAGAGAACCGTAAGAACGCCGGCAAATCTAAGCAAAGCATGTTCCTTTTATCTTACGCCACACAGGAACTGATGATTCTCCACATCTTTTCATAATCTCACTTTAATCTAATCTAATCCTACCAAAAGCAACCATTTTTCTGAAAGAAAAACAAGCAGATGTAGATGTCAGGTTAGGGTTTTTATATCCTTCACTGTCTGCTCATAAAATTCCATCCGGATACAAGTGGACCTTCTTTTTTAATGACCACCACGGTATGGAAGCTTCATTTCAATTGATACCCCTTTTTTCTTTAACTTTTTTGCTTTTTATTTGTTCATTTTCTTTACTGTTTTCGATAATAATGGAGGGATTGTTGATTGATGGGGTTTGTCTGTTTTGGTGACTGGAATCTGGCTTCTGAATATCACAAAGTTCCAATCTTGGTTTTTGGCCTGTTGGGTCACTCTCTTTTTGTGGTTTTGGGAAATTTATTTATCAAAGTTCGGATTTTTGGACTGATCTGCTTCTGGGTATTTGTTAGTTCATGATTTAGAATCAAAAATTGAAAGATCACGAAGTGATGTGAATCTCTCTTCTTCCCCCCCCCCCCCTTTTTTGTTGGATTTTGGTCTAAAAATCTGGAATTCTGGGTCAGTTTTTAATGGGTTTTTGTTTGATTTGGTTTTAGAAATAGTTTCTCTGGAGATCATTGTTTGATATGAATTTTCTCTGCCTTTTTGGGTGAGATGGGATTGCAGATGGATTTGATGCTAGCTGATTATGTTCTCGTCTGCGTTGGATCAGTGTAAAGGGTGGCACAGGTGATTGTAGATTTGTGGAAAAATCAGTGTCAAATATGAGGGATCAAGAAGTTTTCGTTGATGGGACCTCTGTGAATTTAGCTAGGGACGTTAGATTGGAAGAAGATGAGGATGAGTTTCGAAGTTGTTGTGGAGATGATGAAGTATGGAAGGAGACTGAGGAATTGGTTAAGGAAGAATCAGAGGAAGATCTTGATGAATTTTCGGTGAAAATGTTTTTCAAGGGCATGTCTATAGCTGAGGCTGGGGACTCTGGTTCTGGGTCATCTGGAATTGGGGTGGTCATGGAGAGATCAAAAGATGTTCCTGTTATTCAGGTACAAAAAAGGCTTGACTTTTATGTGGATGAACATGTGGCCGATTATTTAGCTCTGATGGATGGTTTGGCAGAGGCAATTCAGAACAAAATCAGCCGTGTCTGTGCTTTCACCGATTCTCAGTTGCTATATGATCAGGTCAGTCTCTTATTTGAGAAGTTTATAATTTTGTTATGTAATTTTGATATAACCTTTAAAGTATAATAAGAATTAAATTTGTGAATTGTCTACATCAATAACTTCATCATATATTTCACCATCAATTCTTAAAATTCTTTATTTGAATTTGCCATGTTATATTGTAATGCATTCTAGAAGGGTATGGTTCGTTAGCTTAGAAGGTGCAGCTGTTCAGACCTCCCATTCCCAACCCCAGTAGCCATATCTCACTTGAAAATAATTTCTAGGTTCTAGGACATCGTCTTTGCTAATGATTGTTTTTCAATATTCAGATTGATAACTTGCAAGTATGGTAAATTTGATAATGTGAGTTTTAATTTGCATTTTCTCTCAAAATAGCCAAAACCTCTTGCAACTTGTTGATATAATACTGAAAATTACCTCTACTCACTGTAAGTGTGTGGGAACTGAATATTTTTAAAATAAAAGGCTAGCGTATTGATGTATTGATGACAATATATTCATAGCTTCTGTTTAATGATTGATGCTGTAATAGCTTAGATTGTTATAGAAGAAGGAATTTAGTGGTTGTTTTGATGCATCATCCAATGACACTTGTAGTGGATTCAGCTGCAGCATAATTTGCTGCAATTTCACCCTTTTAATATCAGAAGTACTCAAGTACGTTTGATGTTCTGAAGTTTCAACTGTCCTTTATTGGTGCGAATTCATGACAGATTACATGTGGGGAGAAACTTGGGATTCCACTTTTGGTGGCACTGAGGGAAAGGATTGCAGAACATACCAATAGTCTGGAAGCCTTCGTTCTGAAGATTGTTCCTAGCACTGATCTTCAGAGGCCACTGCAATTAGCCCAAGTCGCAATTGGGGTTATTTCTTCTCCTGTGAAGGGAGATAAATCATTTGAAAATTGTTCCATCTGCTGTGAGGACAAGCCAGCAGTCATGATGATGACAATGAAATGTTCCCACAAGTTCTGTTCCCATTGTATGAGAATTTATGTTGATGGAAAAGTGCAGTCTTTCCAAGTTCCTATTAGATGCCCTCAGGTGAGATGTAAATATTATATCTCCACCACTGAATGCAGATCTTTTCTTCCACTAGCTTTGTACGAATCTTTGGAGACTGCCTTTGCAGAAGCAGATGTTCCCAACTCGAACAGAATATACTGTCCCTATCCAAATTGTTCTGTATTGCTTGATCCTCGTGAATGTTTATCTGCTAGGGCAGGTTCATCTAGTCAATCGGACAATAGCTGTGTTGAGTGCCTGGTTTGTCGGAGGTTTATCTGCATGGAGTGTGGGGTTCCTTGGCATTCTTCAATGAGTTGTGAAGAATACCAGAGCCTCCCTTTGGAGGAAAGAGATGCTGCAGACATTACTTTGCATCGGTTGGCTCAAACCAATAGGTGGAGGCGTTGCCAGCAGTGCCATAGGATGATTGAGCTTACTCAAGGTTGCTATCATATGACATGCTGGTAAGATGTGTGTTGTTCTTTTCTGATAGTGTACCGTGATTACTGGAGAGCAGTTAGTTTATTTGAAATTATTTAGTGGTGATAGATTTGGTTGTTATCATGCAAAAGACTTGGTCAACAGACATGCCAATGTGCATATGGTACCTGCACGTTTTTGCATCTAAATTAGTAAAACACAGCTTTACTTCACTACACACTTTGAAGTTCCTTAGGCTAAGTCTGCCCGTGTTTCATTTTCAGGTGTGGACATGAGTTCTGTTATTCTTGTGGTGCTGAATACAGGGATGACCAGCAGACCTGTCAATGTGCCCTCTGGGACGAAGACAACTCTGAAGACTTGGTCAATCGTTCTGTCCAAGAATCAGAACAATGGGCATGGGAGACTTTCAATTCACTCCCGATGATCATGGATGCATACTCAGACCAAGAAAGATCACAGCTTGCTCTAATTCAGAGGTTCCTTGCTGGAGGTTTCAGTCTGAGTGACCATCACCCCTATCAATCTCCACCCCGCTGTACAGACTCCTATGTAGATGCAATGAAGGACCTACATCAGCTTCCTTGGCTTGAAAGATTTGTCTCCGTAATAAGTGACAACTACTATGAAGATTACATCCAATGAAGTCTAGTACCCACCATCCCAAAGTTGGTTAAATAAGCCAATTTTCTATCCATTACAAGGCAGAGAGTCCCTCACTCTACTGTCTCTATTCTACACAAACATGCTGATATCAACACCCTTACATTAATCACATGCTGGAAGATTCGTGACCCTGGCAGTCGTTGCATAAGATCGAAGGCAAAGATTTCATGCGTGGGTAATTGCTTTCATCTTGAAAGAAAAGAAAGAGATAGAGAAAAACATTTTATTAGGGTTGTCAAATTGAAAGTAAAGTCAATGCAACAGATCTTATCATTTTCAGGTGGTCATTGTTTTGCCCTCTTTCATGTCTCATCTCATGAAGGTGCCAATTGGCTCAGCTTTACATATTTCTGTGTTGGACAATAGCTTTCATTAATTAACCTTGAACAGGTTCGAGAGGAGTGTATATCAACGAATTTTTAGCAACATTAGTATGAATTGTGTGTGCCAAGATCAGTCCTTGGGAAGGTTTTGTTAGGTAAATTGATTTCTTTTTGTCTTTTCTTTTTGATAGGTCATTAAATAGACTATACAATAAAAGATAATTTTTTTTTTTTTCAAATCTCTCCTCACTCATCTAATATTCAAACTTAAAATCTCCAATATTAAATTTCAAGTTTTTAACCACTAAAACATTCTCTAAGAAACAATAAATTAATTTCTTATTAGGTGTAATGGAGTCTGGTTGGTAATCTTGCATGGACTTTTTAGATACTACTTCGAAAGAGTAGGTACAACGCATGCAACTTGCCGTCCTTGCGGGAATCCATCATTTATAAAAATGCAATGAGACACAACAGGGACTACATATTTTGTATCAAAGAAGTCGTTGGAAATTGCTTGTAGGTTTTTCTAGCCACTTAGCACAGCTGTAACTAAAATATAATATGCACAATTTGCATTTGAGTTGAAGCAATTTTTACTCAATTGTACTCAATGCATAACTCAGACTCAGCCAATTGCCAAATACTTTGTTTTAAGAAAAGAGAGATCCAAGGTTGACCCATTTTTTCAGAGGGAGAGTAATGAAGGTGCCTACGTGGACCATCCCAAGTCAAACCATAAGTTGTGGAGAGAGAAAAAAACACCTACCTTGGGGCCAACAATGGTCCCCCATGACGAAGCAGGACTCCATGATTGTTGTGTAGGCAAAAATGTGGAGCGGGTCATTCTGCCATTCGTAAATGATGGGAAGAACAAAAAGATAATAAAACTAAGAAGAGAAATCAAGAAGCCTCTAATCACATCTAGTCTGAGGCAGCCCCATTTGATTCAGCTGTTTTAATTGGTTGAACATGGGTGTTTGAATTATAGACGACAACAACTATCTATTATTGGATATCAACCATCAGTTCTTTCCTAACAACTAGACTAAATAGGTAATCTAACACTTCAATATTTCAAATTTTAGATTTCATTCCAACACTTCCTTTTTAAAGGTTCCCTTATATATATATACCCATTTCATGGAGATGAAAACTAAATAGGTAGACAAGGCATGGAATTCCCTTTTCATCAACTTAAAATTGGAAACAAAAACGACCCAATGCATCAAGGATTCAGGATAAATGTTCTCTATACTATACATGTGGTATGAATGAAAACTGAGCAAAAAGCAATCGTCACAAAAGTGAAAACTGTACCTATTTCAGCATTTCATTTTCCTTTTGCTAGAATCCTACTTCTATATCCAACTGTCATCTTGATCTCCTCTCATGTTGACTTCCTTTACAAGAAATGTCCTCAAAACTATACCAAAACCCATTTCGACTTAAGTGCTTGACCTAGTTTAAAATGGAGAGCCATGGTAATACATATCCCCACCTCCTGGAGAACTACAGTTGCCAGCCTTCAACAAGAGACAGCATTAGAACCATAGCTAATTGCTTGAAGACTTGAATGAGACATATTAGTCATCCATTTCTGAGGACCATTTGATTCCCCCAGTACATTGTATGCATAAGAAGGCCACCTTACATCAATGCCACAAGAGCTTGTGATGCCCATTCTACTCATCTTCTGTGTTCTCTCGAGAACTATGAGGCTTGAAAATGTGGAGTAACTGTTTCCTACAAATACATTAGCCCTTAAGCACACCTCATAGTCAATTGCTGACTGAATGAGATATGGATGCTTCTTGTAAATTCCATCAACACCAAGTTTCTTCTTCTCAAAAGGAAGCAATCCTTCCTTCCAGCCACTTAATATAGAAGAATCATTCAGAAGATTATCAGCAACAGCAATATAGACGACAGTAGGAGTCTTTAAGCCCTTAATGTTACCCACTCTCTTCATAATCTCTTGCTTGCTACTACAAATCTGCTTTACGTTTAATCTCTGCTCTAACTTCTTACAGTGAATCATCCAGTCTATTTCTATCCTCATATGAACTGCCACATAAGGAACCAGCTCCTCTGCATCAAAATCATGCTGTAGAGAATCAGTTTTGCTCCTAAGTTCTCTCCCTATCTCCCTAATCCTGGACACAACTTTATTAGCTTCCTTTGCTATCTCATCAACCAAAACTAAGCACTCGAAGACCCTTGCATAGTCCTTAACGGGCCAATGATCGTGCCATAGAAATGGATTCTTTCCAACAATTCTAATCACCTCATGCTCATCAGCTGGACCACTGCTACATTGTCTCAACTGCTCCAAATCTCTCTCAGCTGTCCACTTTCTTCCAATTCCCTTCTGGAGATTGAATACTCCAGTCCCATTCTTAAGATCCGAGTAACGACCCAATTGCACAAACCCCTTGCAGAGTGAATTGAACCTCTCATATTGGAAGACCTTATCAAAAGGAATAGGCTGCAGGCGATCAATTTCCTTGTAAAACAGTGAAGCACTCAAGCTAGGCATCAAAAGAGTTCGATTCAGCATTCTAGCTGTCAAGAAAGCTCTTGCAAGTGCAATCTTCTGGTTGTTTAATCCCCATATGATCTGAGGAACCTCCAAGAACTTGTCACTACGAATTCCAACATCCGAATTCAGCGACATAAAGCAGTCATGATGAATCAACTCCATATTGCTACATTCAATTCCAACATAACCAGAAGATGAATGAAGCAATATGGCTCTGAAGAACAAAGCAAGAGCAAATAAAGCAACGCATTTGCACGTCAGAGAACCCAAATGGCAGCCCACGAACTTCGAAATCTTACAATGAGAGGACAAGTCCATCTAAAAGATTCACAACCTCAGATGATGTAGATCTTCTTTCATAACTAACATAGGAGACCAAAACCCCCAAGAAACCAAGCACGTTCCCAGCACCGTGATCATTGAAACCTTAGGAATACAGTAAACACTCAAAATCTGCATATCCAGAAAGTAAACACTCATCAGTACCACCAAACAATTATAAAGCAAGAAGGATTTCACCCCATCTTAGGGATGAAAATTGGATTTAACCTTAATAACTCCTACCAAAAAAAAATCAAAACTTAATAAGTACTCCATATAAAACAAAGTGAATTCAATTGTAAGAAGATGAAGAAGAACACGAAAACCAAGATGCAAAATCCAGGCCAGCAAGCCTCAAAGAGAAAAACTCACGTGATGCAACAAAAAATGCACCCACAAGGCCACAACAGATCAAAAACCATTAAAGCCTGTATCTTTCTCTACCCAAGATTCATAGAAAAAGACAACAAATAACCCAAAAGCAATGCACGTATTACCAAAGAGGTAAAGTTGGAGAGAAAACGAAATGGCCTTCACCCTTTACCTTGGGAATTTAAATCGTTGAGTGGGATGGAAAATCCAATACCAACATGGGAACTCCAAGGAAGAAAGATGTTGTGTTCTGAGTCGGAATCTGAATTCCAAGGAAAACCACCAAAGCAGAAGGTAAGGAGAAAACAACAGAAAAATCGGGAAAGGCTCAATCCCCTTAAAACAATAGCAAATTCAGAACCAAAACAAACCCCAACAGACGGAGAACCCACACCACCAAATTAATAAAGATTTTTTTTTCAACAGTGCACGAGTTCACAAAGATTGCATTTATTATATTTTTGTATTAATTAATATTAAAAATAAAAATTGATATTACTTTTAACGCGTTAATGTTAAATTTATAATATTTAGATTGTGAAGTTTCAATTATAATATGATATTAAATAAGTATATAATATATTAAATGAGTAAATATATTTAATATTATAATAAATTTTTTAAATAAAAAAAAGTTAATGATATAATTATATATCAAATTATAAATTTATAATGATATTAAAATTAATATTAATTTTTAAATTTTTTATATACATTAATAAAAAATATAATAAATATATTTTTAATGACTCAAATTAGAAAAATCATTAATAAAAGGTTTTTTAACGTATGCCTTTTACAACAAGCAAAGAGAGCCATGAATCTATTTTTTCATATTAATTTACATTGAAAAAAAGTTAACATTTATTAAATAAATTGTCTAATTAAAATAACATACATAGTATTAATGATTAAATTAAAGTTAATTTAATATTTTTATATAATTTAATATAAAAAATATATGTTTTATATTATTAAAGTAATTTAAAACACATATTAAATAAACCCTTAATAAAAATCAAAACCTTGTTTTTCGTCCTTCAAGGCTTTATTTACCCCAATAAAATAGAGGCTGTTCAAATTAATTACTTCTTTTTTATTTTAAAAATATTAAGTATTATTTTTATTTGTGATAAAATAAAATTTTATAACAATAAAAATGAAGAGGTAAAGTCAGATTATTGTACTAAATGAGTTTTTTTTGTTAGTACTAAATCATAATAATGTCTTGATAATTAAAATATGATAACTGATAATGAAAAATTTAAATAGATTTAATGAATCAATATATTTTTTTTATCAACCAATATATTATTGTATTGAAAAAATTTATTAGAGATAAATTTTGATATTTTAAATATAATAAAATATTAATTTTTACCTCTCTCTCCTACCTGTTTAATAAAATATTAAAACAAAAATGCAGGAAATATCAAAACTTTATTTCAAGAAAAGAAAAGAAAAGAAAAAAAAAAAAGGAAACCAGGAGACAATGTAATATTATAATAAGGAAAAAAGAGAGGGAGACATCTGGTTGTGATGATTGTGAAAGGGCAAAAGTAAAGCCACAAAACAAGAAACTGCAAAGGAGTCAGAGATATGTGTTTCAGCAGTAGATGGCCAGGTGAGCAGTTCAATAATAAAGGCTGTGAAACTTTTGGGTGATGTAAAATGTAAACAGAAGGACACATGGAGATCAAGAAGATTTTGTTGCTAAATTTAACCTATCTGGGGCCTCTGGGGCCAAGGTCCAAACAGCAACAAAGCCGGTGACATGAAGAATGAGGTCTTCAAGGATGTTTCATTGGTTAATGTATATTAACTTTTTTTTTTTTTTTTTAAGTTTTAAGTTAGAATATTTGAGTATGGTTTTTGTAATTTTTTAGATTTAAATGTCAAATTTATTTTTAAAATTTTTAATTTCAAATAATTTTAGTTCATAAAATATTTTTTTCACATTCTCATCTCTTAACAATGACAATTATATTTTTTTGTCTTTTTATTAATTTTGTCCATTAAATTTATTTAGCTGAAACTTTTTTAGAAACTAAAAATATGTGATGAATATTAATTAAGGGACAAGAAAAAGTGGACAAAAAATGTGCATAAGTTTTTTTTTTTTTTAATAAAGAGCACAAGTTTAATTTAGGTATTAATAAAATTGATTCCTCCTCTGAAATCCTTACTTCGTTGCTGGTCTAATTCACACCATAAATCCTGAATAAGCCGGATTTGGTATGAATCTCACCTATTCAAAGATGTCCAATGCAGGCCGAAAAATAATAGTTGGTACAAAACTTTGAAATTAACAATTTCAACCAATCAAATGACACAAATATTTGAATTGCATTGCAAGGACTAATCCAAACACCCTTTAAAGAGGTTTTTTTTTTTTAAAAAAAAAAAAAACCCTCCCTCCAAAGAGAAAATGACTTTGGGGGGTGACAGTTGGTACCTGCGCATATATATATATATATGTAGTTAA